GTGTGTGCTGGCCTTCACAGAGGTGAGCAGCTGGGAAATCCCTGGTGAGTAATGAAGAGTTTACATAAGTGAGACTTTAATTGCAAGGTGCAAACCTTCACTGTTGAACTTGAGGGTGTTAGTATCAGAAAAAGAAGTGGGGAACAGAGATGATTGTTGAACTTTGAGGGGGTTTACCAAACCTTTCACCTTTTGGCAGCTGGAATAGCTGCTGCTGTGGCTATTAAGCAAGGCTCTTTGTGGGCTGAGTGGAGAGGTTGGGATATGCAGGGCATCAGCTTTGGATCAGAGACCAAACAAATGAAGAGTGGACATAAAAGCTGGAGTGGAAACAAGGAGAGCAGTGAGCAAAAGGAAGTGCTCTGCCAACCACAGGCTGTCCGCAGACCACAGTTTGAGAAGCACTGCTTCCTGAGCTACGCAGGCAATACCAAGGTGGACTGGTGACACGGTGCTCTGCAAGGTATGGAGCAAAGCCTACTTCACAGGACACACTGAGCATCTTGTCACTTCCATTACCCAATTTTTAGAACTATGCAGTGCAGGAACCTCCTGTCATTTGCTTACCTGCCTACATCTTTTCTTCATCTATTGCCAACCTAATAGGAAATTTTTTTTATTTTTTATTTTTTTTAACTGGAGAGTGGCAGTCAGCTCAGGAACTTTCCTCTCTCGCTGCTTTTTGGCCGTTTCATTGTGTTGTACATTTTTTTTCTGTTTGTTTGACGTGTGCCTGGTCTTCTGCTTCTTTAATGAAAAAATGTTAGTGAAGTCTGAATGCCAGCATTTAGTGGATAAGATTAGTTATTGTGCTGTGGGACTTTCCGTGGGTCACTTTTTGGCCCTCTCATTTTCTCAGTACTCTGTTTTGTGACAAAATATCTCAAGAAGTTCTACATTGGATCCTGACCTCCATTCTGTCAGCTTTTGGGAAGTAGGTAAAAAATTAAGCAAGGTCACCTAGGCTAGGCCCATAAATTAAACAAACTAAATGAATCTCTCTCCTCCATTTTGGGTTACTTTGATCTAAACTGATCACAGAAGCAAAGATTGGCTGCCTTATGAGAATGAAGGGAAGGCACTGATAAATGACCAAATCTAAGATAGAAGTAAAATAAAGATTTATGTCTGTTAACTTGAGCACTGCATAATTTTCCTCCCTCCTCAGTAAACTGAAAGTAGCAGCACACGAATTCACAATTGTCAGAATAAGGAATATTAATGATTCTATTTAACCTAGTAATATTAAACCAAGAATGGGTAGCAGTGTATGTAGCATGGGTCTAGCTAAGGAAACCTTAATGCACTTTCTTGCTGCTTCTAACTGACTATTCCTTCTCTGATGGGCTAGGTTCAGAACTTCATACCTTTTTCAGAATGAAGGAGACTATGAAATAAAGGAATACAATGATCTGTTTCTATCACCAGTGGTGCAGAGCTCTGTAACTGAGTCCAGCTGGGTTGGCTATGACACACGGTATAAAATGGGGCTGTGAGTTTTCTCTCAGTATTTTTAGTTGTGTAATCTCAGCACCATCATCTGATACTTTCCATGAAGTTTCCTGCTCCCAGCTCTCTCTTTCAGCCACAGGAATTACTAGTGCTGTCTGTCTGCTTCCACCATGCCTGGTGTGTCTGCTTCAGGAAATTCCTCCTTCAGCTCCTGTGTTCCTTGCATAGGAACTGCTATTGCACACAGCTGCGCCTTGCAGCTGCCCCTGGGCAGTGCAGAGTGACCAGGCCTACACAGTGCAGCCAGGAAGACTTTGGTGCCAGAAGCATCAGCAGCTTTCTCCGAAGTCCTTTGCAAAGGCACGCGCAGATCTGCATGATATTTGGTGAAATGTATCCCCTTGCAATTCTGATGATTTCTAGGATTATTCAGCTGGCAAGTGTGGTTCGTAATTTCTAAAACAATGAGCCATGATGGTGTCATCATTTCAGTGCATAGTCACTGTGCAGTAATTCAAATCACCATTGTCATTATGATTACTTAGAACCTAGCAACCTGATTCCTTCTGCCAAACTGAGGCAGGTGTGTGCATATAATCACTGTGCAATTAATTGATCTGTGTTGCCAATCTGTATGCAACACACAGTTTCCTGTGTCCCAGCTGAGTTCATTTTGCAGAGTGGCTGCAAGATTTCAAAATACTTGCAGTAAGAATTCAAAAAAGGAATGAAAAGTGGGCAGCACTAGGGTCAACTTTACGTCATCTGTAACAGAATCCAGCACCTTTCTCAGTCAAAGGGCTTACTGGGAAGGTAGGAGAAGAAAGAGGGAGTTAGCCACAAACTGTGTTATTTCTTGAAACTGTGAGCCTAGAAATAATCCAACGAGTGAAATCTGAGTGAGAGAAATAAGCAAAAGCTGGCTGCTCACTGCAACAGCCCCACAAATCCCTTCAGTTGGCAGCACAGCAAGAACCTGGGAGCTGCCCATGCTCCCTCTTCTCTCTGCAGCTAGCAGAACTACCACAGAGCCAGATTAAATTGGTGGATTAAGCACTCCCACAGCCTGGCATCTGGATCTTTGTGACAGCTGTACCCGGGAAAGAAGTCTGGTGCTGTAACTGCATCAACTGGTGTGTCAGGGGTCACAGCATTACAGCTGAAAAAGGTCTGTTCAGTCACTCACTCCCATTTCTTAATCAGCACAGGATTTGGCTCTACAGAGTGTTTGCTAGTGCTCTAAGCATGGTTTTAAGAGACCTGGGCAATGCATTTCTCTCTTCCTTCTCTTGGGAACTTATCCATCATCTGTTTTAACTCACTGTCAGGAAGCATCTAGCCCGACATTTCTCTGTTTTAATGACTCCATTAATTACTCCTTTTACTTTCCCTTTTGTTGCAGCCTCCATTTTGGTGGGATGTTCCTGCATAGGTATCACAGCCTGCATCCTTACTTCTTTGCTGGGCTGGATTCTGAAGGCCAGATTCCCCCCTAAAAAGGACTCTCCTCCCTGAGGGTCCCCAGAAGGCTGAGTTCCTGTTCTGCCAAAAAGCCTCATCCACCACTTTTCATAATCTGCACTGAAAGTCCCCACACTCAAACCATGGAATATATTAACACAAATATTTTCTGACCATTCAACTTTCTTTCTATATGTTGAGTCTGGAATGATTTTGTTTTTCATCTGTTCTCTAACACTTAGATGATGAGCCCTATGTGCAGCCTCAGGTCTGTTGTTCTGGCTGCCAAGACCATGCTGGTGCTGTGAGCAGGACCCCAACGAGTCCATGCACTTGATAGGGGTGTGGGTGCCTCTGCCCACATCAGGGCTGGGTTTTCCCACGGGGAAGGCCATGTGTGAGCTCATGTCCAAGTCTGAGCTGCTCTGGGTTATTACACAGCCTCTGCTGATACCCTCAGTTCCCACCACATGATGGTATTCCTGAGTATTGGTGCTTTGCTGGTCCTTTTCCATTACATGATTAAAGGGTAATGAAGTTCAGCATCACTAGAGCTGGTGCAGTGCATGTCATCTCCTGCTGACATAGCAGGGCATTACCAGCACCAGCTTCCTTCTGCCCTGGGTTTCAAAGATCATTGGCATGATCAGCTTCACAATTGGGTGACTAATACAGGGAGCAGCTTTCTATAACAAATTTATGGAGCATTTCTCTATATCTCACCTTTGTTTTCCTTCAGCTTGTTACTTCTTACCCATTACCAAGTATGAATGCCATCTAACATGCTTATTTTGTATGGTTACTTGATGTTTCCTTTAGTTTGTACTGTAAGAAAAGAAAAGCAAGAAGCAAAACAAGTTTCCTTCTGAAAGCTCTCCTCCTTTTACTGCTTGCTCAGATTATACTGTTTAAAATCATGATCTATCATATATAAAGGAAATTTCCTCACCTATTTGACGTTGGTTTTGGGATTTAAAGGCTATTTTTATAAAAAGTATATTTTGGGATAAGCATGCTGTGGTACATTGAGCCTTTGAAGGAACTCTTTCAGTAGTTCAAGTCTGACCTCATTTTATATGTACTACTTTAAGATCTGTATCTTAACAAAAAAAAGGAACATGAATAAGTCTTGAAATAACAGCAAATCAAAAGTGAGAGTCCTGCTCTTTCCAGCTCTTGCATATAAGCAGCAAAATTGGCGCAGAAAACATGTTACTATGTGTATGTTTTCTCCATTTTCTTTACTTTCAAAATCAATTAATTACATAAATGATGAGCCTATATGCATGAATCTACAGCCTCATCTAGCCAAAATCTTAAGACCAGACCTGACAGCAGTTCTACTGCCTGAAGTGATAAGCACATGTATAAATACTTTGTGGAAATCTGTGTTAGAAATCAGCATTTTATGTCATTTTGCCATTAAACCATAGGGACTGAAAACTGAATTAACTCCTTGCCTCTCTGTTCAGAACAGAAACCTAAAGCACAGGACATCCCACATCTTTAATATTCTCAACAGTGAAATTTCAGTATTCTTATGTCTTGCACATAGCTGAGAATAAGTGGCAGGGACACATCCATCTCTGTGGCCACCAGCTGTTCTGACCAGCCCAGCCTCAGCAATGCGAGCAGGGAGCGCTCACTGCTGATTCAGTGAGATAGATGTCTTGGTCTGCCTTTTTGCATATTACCTGAAGGCAGCCTGGCTGTGAGCAGAGCAGGGCTGCCAGAAAGCGAGAGCTGCCGGTACCTTGCTCAGACGAGGCATGCAGATGAGCTGAAACCCACAGATTGCAGCAGAAAGCGCTCTGCAAGCCTGTGGTCTGAAAGGCAGCGTGCATCACTAGCTTGAGGCCGTATTCATTAAGACGGGCTTATCTGTCGGGGCTGTCTGCCGCGTGCCCAGTCTGCGTCTATCAAAACGAGACATCTTTTGTCTGATGCCCCTCAAGGAGCTCTCTGGATGTTAAGTGCCCTGTGCGTATTTGTGTGGTACCTGTGTGTTTATGTTTGTAGTCCTTTCTCCCCCAGAGTTTTCCATCTGCAATTCTTCTTTTACAAGGGTCTCCCTTTCTCTGTTCCAGCCCCAGCAGCAATACCAGCGAAGAGGGGAAAGAGACACATCTGTGCCAGGCTACTTCCCTGCGAAACTGCCTCTCGCTGTCAGGAGTCAGCATCCTTGATAAACTTATCAAGACCTGCCCTGTCTGGCTTCAGCTGAACATGAACCAGGAAAGAGCTGCGGCGATTCTTGGCAACAAAGCAGCAGGGGTAAGTCCAAAGTGGTTTCATTTCAGATGACCACATTTCCTTCCCCTGGAGGAGCTGGTTAGGGGAGCAGTGCTCCTTTTCATGTGGAAGCAGAAATATTTAGCAATTTACACTCTCTGTTTCCACTACCTTTTGATGCTTTAACCACTCACAGTGTCACAAGATCAACTTAGTGCCTTTAGGGAGCAAGAAATTATGCTTCCTTTTATTTACTTGGCACCTCCATGAAACCACATGCTATCCTGTTCACCATAAAACTACGTACCCATGCCTGGCTTTTCCTAGATTCACTTCTCTGCAGACATCCTCTCCTCTGGCCTTAACCCACAGCTCTGCTTACATTTTATTTCTAGATAGAAATGTTAAGAATAAATGGTTTACATTAAGAAAGAAGGAAAGAAGGAAAGAAAAAGAAGGAAAGAAAGGAAGAAAGAAAGAAAGGAAGGAAGAAAGAAAGGGAGGGAGGGAGAGAGGGACGAACGGACGGACGGACGGACGGAGGGGAGGAGGGGGGAGGGAGGAAAGGAAGAGTCTTACTTTGCAAAAGGGAAAGCTTCCCAGTCAAGACTGAATGAAGATTGAGGAAAGCCATAAAGATCTCCAAGATCTTGAGATTTTTGGAGTGGATGTTGGCCTGGCATGGAGTGGGTAGAAAGAAGTGTTCTTCACTAACCTCTGTCCCCAGAATTAATCCCACTAGAATTAACTGTGGAAGGAGTGCAAGAGGACTGTGACTGCTCAGTTGTAGCTCAGACTCAGGGAAGTAGAGAGAAGGAACAGGAAGAGCTGCCTTTGCTTGTGTGTGAAGCCATCAGGAATGCAGGAGGTCTTTAAGAGGTGTAGTGGATGAGAGTATCAGCAAGCAAGCAGTTAGGAATCATGCTGGAAGGTTTGCGTACAAACTATTCTAATAATCTGCTCCCTGCAAGAAATAGGCTGCCCCTCATTCTCTTCTTTGGGCTGAACAAACCAAGGGAACTCAGGTGTTCTTCATGTACATCTTGCCCTCCAGACCTTTTACCATTTTCTTAGCCCTCCTTTGGACAGCCTCTGATTCTTCTATGTCCTTATGTTGCAGCCCAGACATGCATACAGTGCTCAAAGTGAGGCTGCACCACAGCAGAGCTGAGCAGGACAATCCCTGTCCTTGCCCAGGTGGCAGTGCTGGGCCTGGTACACCCCTGCACCTGGCTGCACTTCCTCAGATCTTCCTCCAGCATGATTTTGACCGTGGCTCTGCACAGGCAGATGACACCACAGCAGCATAGCCTGTCACCTGCACTGGACAGCATGTGCTGATGCTATCTTGGCTCTCCTGTCTGCTCCCCACAGCACACCTGAAGCTGAACCAGCTCCATACCTCTCCCAGTGAAAATGGAAGAGGCTCATTGGTGTTCCAGTGCTGATCTGGGCAGCAGGGTTGTACAGCTTAGTAAAGCCCACCTTCCTCTCATCTTAGCATCCATGGTCCAATTTTAGCCTTTGGAGCCATAGCAACCAGGCTCAATGATCAGAAAACAGAAGTGATTCATTTCCAGGTTTCACTTCTCTCCTTTAATTTCAAATGAAACACTTGACCAAAATGACATGAGATCGTGCTAAGACCCAAAGCCATGATAGTCTCTTGAAGTGTGCTAGAGAGGCTTTTCTACGACACAGGTGATAAGATCCAGGGAAAGGAGAGCCTCTATGGCTCCTCACTGCCAGAAATTCTGCTGTCTAGAAGGTAGAAGCTGCCCAGCATTAGAAATAGCTATGCCTCAGTCATGCACCTATTTGTTGTGCATTTATTTGGATTTTCTCTGCGCTGTCAGTGGACCTGAGCCTGAGGCTCAAACTCTTAGGAATATCATAGGCGAAGAGCACAGCAGTGTATGAAGTTGCAAAGCTGCATCAAGTCTGTGTGTTTGGCATGGTTGTTTCAAAGAGACATGAGGTGCTCTTATGACTGGAAGACATGCAGAGAAAGGTCTCAGCTTCAAGACAAGTTCTTTTTTAATTCCTCTTTCAAGAAATTAGTGTATTCTTGGAAGATTTCCCATGCATTATAATTGATTAATCATTTTATCAACTCAAACTTATTTCTAATATTAATATGCAGACTCTAGAATTAGCCCAATTTTGAATTCCATTTTAATTAAAGTGCTTTGACTCCTTTCTTCTGCAAGCCACTATCATAGGACAGATAAGGACACAGATTACTTTGTATCTACAGTTTCAAGGTACAAGCTAAATATATCCTTGACAATGAGCTCTAATTAGAAACACAGTTTGGGAGCTCATGCAGTGCAAAGAATAAGATATGTTTCTTTCCCCCTTCCTCCCCCCTTCTTCCCTTTCACTCTTTTTTCCCCTTTTCCTTTTCTCTTTTCTTTCTTATTTCTTTTTTCTTTGTTGCTTTTTTCCTTTTCTTTACCTTTTTTTTTTCTCTCCTTTTCTCTTTCTCTTATTTTATTCTTTCTTCTTTTTTTCTTCTCTTCTGCTTTTTATTTTCCTCTTTGTTTCTCTTCTTTCTTCCTTTTATTTATTTTTTTCCTTTTTTTCTTTTTTGGCATTATTTCACTGGTCCCATAGGGGTGCTACCCTCCAGAGGCACACAAGCAAACTGCAAGGCTGGAGCTGGCAGGAAATTTACAAAATACAACAAAGACAAGTGTGCAAAATTCTGCCCTGGGAAAACTTAAGCACCTGGTCTGGCCTCGTAGCTTCACCCAGAGGACTGGACAAGAACCCCCCTGGGTCCCATGCCAGCTGGGATGATCTTCTGTACTCATGATAAAACTCTGCTATGGGACACTGTGGCTACCAGAATCTTTGGCCTTGTGCTCCACATTTAAATCCTTTCCCTCTCAGTGTAAAATTGACTTCCTTACTTTGGACATCAACCAGAACATTCTAGGAATTCTTGTGGTTTAGGGCACTTACATGAGGAGTATCACTTGACAAATTGGGAGTGCAGCTTTATATTGTTCCATTGGTGAAAGAGTTTGCCTTGGGCTTAAGTAGGACATTGGCAATGCATCGAAATTTTGCTGGTTCCTTGGCAGCTGGACAAAATGTCCCTTGAGATGTTATTTTTTGTAATGTAAAGTTTGACCAAGAGGAACAAAACTAAGACCATTCAAAAACAGGTTGAACTGATAAAGAATTTCTTTGTCGGTGACCTTAAATAATGTTCAGAAGCACATTTAATGTAGCTAAGCTTGATTTCTTTTCCCCCTTTTCAGATGTTCTTGGTTAGGAAAGATAGTAATGCAAACAACATGGTCCTTGCGGTCCGCATGCCTGTTCAAGGTGATGCTCCTGGGGTGCTGGAGTACAACATTAAAGAAGAAAAGTCAAGTAAGTTCTTCACAGTCTTTTCTCTCGCTCCAGTTATTACACAGAATCCTCTTGTGAACACCAGCATTTATGTAGTCTCACTTGCAAGTGCTCAGATTGTTCTTGTGGCAGCAGATCTCGATTCCACAGTGTAGTTTGGTTACTATTTCCTGTAGTCACTTTACCTCAGCTCCCCTGCAGTTCTGCAACTTGTATTATCATTTACAGACATGTGACAGGAAAGTAAAGCACTCCCAGGTGAGTGCTTTGATCCAACAAGGAGCTGCCTTTCACCAGATGGAATTCCTGAGCACAGTGTAAGGCTCTGACAGGCTGAGCCCTGTTAACTCAGCCACTATCTCTATTTCTGCCACCAGATCATTGACTGCCAGCTGTCCAACATTTGCTACTCTTGCTTTTCACACACCTCATACAGTTCTGTGTAACAGTTGGCCGCTCTTAAACTGTTTCTCTTAAACAATTCTCAGTGACTCACTGTTTCGGGATGTGGCTGGGTCTTGGGCATGGTGATAGCAGTGCTGCTCCCAGTGAGACAGCCACGTTTGCCATGAGCAAGCAAGGATGAACTCAGATCACAGGCTGGCTCAGCTGGTGCAGCCCTTGGAGGAAGTGGCTGTGCAATACTGGTGGAATGTGTTTTCCACTTTCCAAGAAATATTTGTAAACACAGGAATTTTAGGGTAGTCACATAAGCATGCCTTTGGAAGAGTTCATCACAATGGCTTACATTGATAATTTGTATGAAAACATCCAAATACTCTGCCACTGAGTTCTGGCTTCATAGCTGGCACCCTGGGGTATGTGTTCTACAATGCTTTGGATTGTTTCTTCCCCGCTCCTACTTGCTCAAATGACCTTTTTCATTCTCATACATTTCTCTATATGTACCTCTGCATGATAAAGAGATGATGAAGCCAGAGGGACAACTGTATCTTGGAATCACTCTGATTTAGTGGAGTATTGGCAAGCACAGGCTGCCCAGGGAGGTGTTGGAGTTGCTGCCCCTAGAGGTGTTCAACAAAAGGGTAGATGTGCTGCTGAGAGACATCATTTAGTTGGATGATGGGTTGATGGTAGGATGATCTTAGTGACCTTTTCCAAACTTAATGACTCTATGATTCTGTGATAGGCCACAGATTGCCACATCATTGCTCCTGCACAGAGCACAGCTGCCTGCTGAGCTTTCTCTCTCATGTGTTCACCTTGGAGCATGCCCTTGCAGAGGTGCCACATGTATCCAATGCTTCTGAATGAGGTTGAAAGCCTCAGATCTTTTGCCACAACTTCAGGTGCCCAGCAGGGACAAGAGTTAGCTGCAGGATGTGAAAACTTTATTTCCTTATTTTGAAGTGGAGCTAGGCTTACGTTTATTATGGTGGAAAATTGCTTTTTCTTTGGGGATAAAAGTTGAAAAATTGAATCCTGCCATCCTAAAAATGTCATATATAGAAATGTTCCTGCTTGACTTATGTTTTGTGCCATAATATCTGATTTCTTTGAGTGAAGTATAGTTTAAGGATTTCACTGCGAGCAAGCCTTGCTAGAAGGACTTCTGTGCTGTTTTTCAAACTTGCTTGCTATTTATAATTTATCACTAGCTTAACACAAAGCATGTGTTCAAAGACACAGCTTTTTGATAGAAACAATATGAAAATCAGTTTCCACCTCTTTTATATAAGTTGCAAAGTAAGTGGAATAAGGTAATTAAAAATTAGCTCTCCTAAGAGCAGGATAACTGCTATCACATGTGCAGCAATCACTGCAGCCATGAGGCTGCTGCATTCATGTTATGTTTTACCTTGAATTCTGTTAGTCAAGCTTTAGAAAGCCTTAAGTTCCCCATAATGTACCACTTCAACAAGAGCACTTTAGGCAAGCAAATAATCATGCTTTTGCTTCCTTTCTCGTTTCAGGTAAGTAAGTTGGCTTTTGAGCTTAGAAGAAACAGAATGGATACCTGTTTGTAAAGCCAAATTTGGTGCAAGGAGAGATAATAAATCTTCATAGTCTTGGGGTAACCGAATATATTAGCTTTGATGTATTGTTTCTGCATAAGTCCAAGTTTTTTAAACTTACTGAAAAAATAAAATTATATGTTTTCAGAATGCTTTAAAATGATACAAAGTAGCACCTGAGCTTCCCTGCTAATACCCTGATGCATCTGAATTGCCTTAGTTTAATAAATTGCACTTCACTCTTCTGTAGTGTGCTGCAAATGTGAGGATAGATGTCCGTGTGTACGTGGAGATTAACTGCAGACCAAAGATGTTATCTTGCTCTGTGACGCGTGTTTATTGCAAAAACTGCGTTACATTTCCTGAGAGTGTGTGAAATGTGCCAGGTGTATGACATGAAGACCTCTGCATACTGGCAGGGTTTTTCCAGGCATCCCATCTTTAGCTTCAGATAGTTAAAGACTCTTCAGTTCTTCCACTCTTCTTAAAAGGAGGAATCAGCCTCAGTGGCATGATGGATCTGTGCCATCTCTGCAGTGATGTCCACGTCTTATTTTTACTACATGCAGCTTCGAACAGCAATTTTTATTCCTCAACTTTTTGTAAAAAGCCACCCTCATTCCATTTTATTGTCCCAGTTGTATCTGAAGCGGTTTTCCCCAGTGTTGCAATGACCATGCAAGGGGTGCATCCTAGCCTCTGAGATCCTTACATAAATGGCCATTCACTGAAGCATACAAAAAAAGAAGTTTCCATCCAAATAATGGTGCAACATTGTTTAGCTCTTCCCTTTCCCTTTATCAGATCTGTCTTGTTGACATTCTGATGAAAAATTTAGGGAAGATTCATTTTTTGAGGGGAAGCATGGATTTAATTCTGATTTTTTTTTTTTTTAAATGGAAATCCCCAAAGAAGCCACTAGGCAGGAAGATCAAAAAAAAAAAAAAAAAATGAAATGTCTTTCCATTTCTTTTTCATAGGGATTTTTCACCTGTTTCATGAAATAGCTCTCAAAATCATAAAGTAGGAGAACAAATAGACTGGATTTTAAACATTTCTGTTTGGTTCTTTGTTTTTGGCTGTCCTTCCTTCAGAGACCAGAAAGGCAAAGGCCTTGTCTCGGCTTTCTCTCCTCCTCTCCTCCTTTCCTTTTCTCTCTCTTTATTTTTCCTTTCTTTCTTTCTTATTTTTTATTTTTTTTTGTAGTGAGCCAACAGTAGATGATATGTGGTTCATCAGAAGGCTGAGAAACCCATCAATGTTCAAAGTCTTGGATGTCTGGTTTTATTTCTTACCAGAGGGTTCCCTTACTTCTTGCTCAGATATGTTATAGCATAGTAGAAATCTTTCAGAAAGAAGATTCCACAAGATTTCTTCCATTTAGAGATCAGCACTGAAAGATACCTCTCAAACTCTGCTAAAATCTCAACCTTTGAATGCTTTCAGTTCTGAGAGTGATTTCTTCTGCTTCATACCTAAACAGAGCATTAGCCTCACGTGACTTAAGATCTGAGCACCATTTCCTTAGCTGATTCTTACCCTCAGCTGTAATTTCATTTATTCAAGTTTTCAGTTAGCAGATCATAACCTCAGGTCCTTATTCTCTTTCCCCTTCATGTTTATACAGTCAGAAATCATGCCACTGGCATCATACCAGTGACAGTGCAGGACTATTCAAAAGAAATAATTGGACTTTTAAAGGAACTGTGTGTGGTCCTGTTAACGTGTTGGAGTAACGCATACTGAGAGCTTGAAGAAAGTATCTTTGTATGATAGACCACTTGGTGCAGATAGTGACCATACTGCTGCTTTCACACGGATCATGAATGTGTGTGCCAAAGAGGCCCTTCAGTAGAAGTATGCTCGAAGGCCATATACTGGATGTAATGTTTCTTTTTTTTTTTTTTTCTAAGAAATCTCACTAATTATACCTGAATTGCTGTGGAACTGCTGTCCCTCTTCATTCTTTAAGCTGTCTCTCATTCATTCTTTTAATTCTTAAGGTTGTGAAAGTTCACAAGAACCTGATTGATTTGTAATTCACCCCCCTGTGCCCCGTCCATCCACAAACAAAGAAGACCTAGAGGCAGCAGGATGGCAGGCCCTGCTGGGGAGCCAAGGTAGCCATGCAGGCAAGCAAAGAATGCTATAAAAAATTCTATGCACAGAATTTTGTGAAGGGTGAAATTAATCAGAAAAGGGAAGAGATAATTTAGGGTTAAGTTTTCACAACCTACTTTCTTGTCTCGATGGAGCCAATTAGATGCAGTCTCTAACACCATGAAATCTTGCCTAATCTCAACAACCAGCTTTGTCCATCATTGGCCAAGTTACTTCAGCCACCTCTACGCTTTCATTCCTCCTTGCCAAGCACAGATGGGAAACTTTTTGATAATTAGATCAAAGCCATTCACATTAGATCAAAGCATAAAAAGAGAGTATACAGTTGTTCTGACTGGCCATTAGAGGTAACAGATGGTAATTAAGCAATAGTAAGGCAGCAGTGTGTTTACAGAGGGACATTAGAGTAATGTGGGGATAGTCTTTGCACATTTCTGCAAACATAGCTCCAAGCAAAGCTTCTGAAAGCCCTAGTCTTGTGGCACAGCCTGAGGGGAGGGCTGTGAGCACGCCTAGCACACAGCAGCAAGGCTTAGACATGAGGGCTGCGAATTACTCCTTGTGTCTCTGCATGTTGGCAGGTACAAGTGGTGTGAGGTCACCCACTGAGCAGCACCAAGCAGAGCATGGAAGATAAGACAGGCTAGACGTTATCCACTACGTCAGATCTCCCTATTAAAATTTCTTTTTTTTTTGCTACTGAGCCTGGATGAACAACTTCCAAGACTGAAGTCCTCGCTGCTAATACAGCACAGCACGGTCAGCAGTATATTCCCATGTCATCTCCTTTAAGGTACTGCTCAGACGAGGTCATGAGAAGAAAGGGAAAGGTGGCTCAGCCACTGCAGCCTACTCAAAATTTAGCTTATATAATGAGAGGAATGTTGTGCATGTGATGTTTGTAATATGAACATATCTGTAGAA